CCTAACTTTTTTCCAGCCATTCCCAACACCAGTTAGCATTGCACGTTGTGGTAGTTAGTCTTTGGGCATACGTAACACGTGGTCCAACCATCTCAGTCGATGAAGATTGACAACCTCATCAACTGATTTACCATCATTCCTTAATATCCTGTGTCTAACCTCACTATTACTTACCCGGTGATCCTAGCAGATGCGAGCAATTTTTCTAAGGCATCTCTGGTCGCACACTAGTAGCAGCCTTAAGATAGAACAGGACGAAATGCCGCACAGTATACTCGTCCCTTATTTGATCAACTACCTCAGCAGATGAGTTTTTATAGCACCATCAATTGATTTGCTATATTTACCAACCATCCTAAATTTTGCCGTAGGCTTATTTATTCGATAGTTCCAACGTTATGGAGCAATGTTTGGAAGGCATCTATGATCAAATATTGGTAGTCTGTGAATATCCTCCATCAGTGAAGGCCACATTTCAAGCCAGTAAAATGGAACAGAACTGAATTCTATGTATTACACTCGACCTTTCGTTTACAGACAGAAATCTCACCCACGCGACAAGTTGACAAAGCCCTTGGACGTAATGAATATATGTCGAGATTTCGTCAGACACCAGAGTTGATATAACCTCCAAGATAAGTGAAGTGGTCAACGTGCTCAGTCTGACATTTTGGGTTTACACGCTATTGAGAAGTCATGGGCACTGGACAACCTTTAGTCCTCATTGATTTTCCATGCTTCTATATTCAGTGTCAGTTAGTTCGTGATAATAAGAATATATATTAATGCTACAAAATCTTTGTAAAGGAATTTCTGCGGTTTGCAAAATTATCTTTAAAGAAGAAATAATTTTTGCATGTCAATACAGACTAGTTAGAAATATACCTAAGGATGCAGGTTAGACTAAAATGCCAGCAAAGTGCATACAAGTTCAGGCATGCTCTGTGTTCATATACTTTGGCTTTGTTCCATGTGGTTGCTCCATGAATTAATCACTTTTTTCACCCATTAAAGCCAAACGCGTGTTGATATGAAGGTTAACAGAATAGGATATGAAATGTGTTTCTACATCTGGACGTAGAAAATCATTTAAACGGTATAATAATGGATATCATTTTATTACTTCATAAGTTTGATTTGGGAATATTAGTTTGTTTGTTGTATACCGCCGCCCGTAAAAAGGATATTCGGAGTCATTGAGGATATTACCTTTCGCCTAATCTACTGTTTGATGCAAAGTATATTGCACAATTTTATTCTTAGTTAACTGCCTGTAATTACCCCATTTCCCATTTTATATGGAGATACCGTCCTAATATTCAAGGTTGTTAAGTTTCTTATTGGGATAATCTGGGTGGTTTGTTGCTGGGAAAAGACTGAAAGAATCTCGTCTAATACGCTTTTAACAGGAACTTCATACAGTTTAAGAAATACTATGGTTTAGGTATCATGTTCTCATTGGATAGTCGCCGATTTGGCTATCCGCTTTGACATGTGTTTTGATGCTTTTAAAACATCGAGGTTGTGAATATGAATTTCTTCTGAGACGAAATTAACCATGGGAATAAGGTTTCTTTCCACAGTTCTATCGTTTCGTATTCTGTTTCGGTTCAACTGTATGGGATTTCTTAAGGGCTATAAAACATTTAGGATACTAGTATCATCCATTCAAGTACGGGACCGATCAGATTTTATTTACCACTAGTTGTTTAGCTAATATCGATTTCTCACCAAAACTGTTACGAATCTATCAAATCTAACGTGATTTCGTAATAAGAACTTTGGAGGTAACTATTATACTTGATACTTGTGGGTAAGTTTGAGTACTTATGTGATGATAACTTTGCAGAACTTTAATTTATTGGTTGACAGGTTTGTCATTAGCTAATTGTTTCACAACTCCAACATCAGTCAATACAATAAACGAGATTATTACATTCTTCTCACTAGTCTAATGAAAGTTAGAAAAAACATGGATGCAGAATAGTATGAATTCATATTATTTCGAGGTTTCTCGTCAGCTGCTTACAAACCAAAATTGTGATAGAATTTTGGTTTGTAAGCAGCTGACGAGAAACCTCGAAATAATATGAATTCATACTATTCTGCATCAATGTTTGTTCTTGCTCTATTTAAATTCATAAAGGGAACCAATTGCATGAAAGTTAGAAACCCGGTTCACTGATTAAGACCTCAGAATAATTGGCCTTTTTTACGTAGTGGGGTAGGTATACTTATATGTAAAATAGTAACATGATGCGAACATAATGAAATACCACAGCCGATTGAAGAAAATTATTTTGTTGCTCACTTTCTCCAATCAATTAATACCTCATCGTTAGGCATAGATCTTGGTTATTGTATAAATATCAATGGTTAAGACCATGAGTCAGTCGAAGCTAGACCACCATGGAAAACCTGGAAGCACTGGACGGCCGTTTCGTCCTATTGTGGGGCTCCTCAGCAGTGCGCATCCACCACCTCGCCCCCTGCGAGACTCGAACCCAGGACCTACTGGTTTTGCACCCGAGCACTTAACCACTAGACCACTGAGCCGGCCGGTATCCAACGGTGTTAATGTCTAACTTCAACTAATCCACGAAATTGTGTGACACATTCACCATTGTCTTCAGTGAGTTGCTATCTCACAACAGACCTGGTTGAACTCCACTGGTCACTACTTCTCACTAGAACTCCAGGATATACCTCGTGAAGCCAGTCACTAGTGAGCATATTTTTGATTAATATCAGATGGGTTTTTGTGGAGATTGTAGTAATTTCAACTGACTCATGATCTTAACCATTGAAATTACTACAATCTCCACAAAAACCCTTCTGATATTTTATAAATAGTTTCAGAAAATGTCATTTATAGCTCTGCTCTTGGTCGTATTGCTAACATATGCATCCTTACTGATTATTATCACCATTTCTAATGATTTTAATAAGCATATATATAAGAAATTTTCGAAAAATTAAGTTGGCCACAGTGTTTCATGCTACTCTTCAATAGTTGTTAACAACCAGGAAATCTGATCTGAAGACATCTAATTTATGATTGATAACATTGGATTAATGACTGACTAGTCGAATGATCGACTAATAATGTCATAGTTCTATAGGAGGTTAGTCTCACAACCTGTTTAGCTTATTGGCAGCGCATCAAACTGTGACACTGGTTCAAATCCTACACGAATTATCAATTCTTTCAATATTACAGGTATTTCTTTCTAAGGAGTACTGACTAAAAATTAAAACTTAAGTCCTGTAGACTGCTCTTCCATCAAAACGTAGTTTACGAGGTAATGAGTTGTTGGGACTAGTAGTCATATTGGCACTTTTTCGATAGATAAGAACTAGAAAAACATGACATTGAGTAACTAGTGTTGTTTCAATAATTTCACTTATATACATTTATGGGAACTCTTGAAAACTACTGACAGTTAACAGTTTTCGATGTTAGATAATCTGGTAAGTGAGTAGATGGTCTCATTTATACTTCAATATTGAGTATTATCTTAAAAAATGATTACAAAATGTATAAGCAAAGATGGGTGGTGGTCAACAATGGAATACACGACGCGAGTTTCGTCCCTCTCCGGATTCGTCATTTAGATGTATCTGCATCCAAGAGTTGATATTCACTCCGGAACTCGAACCCAGTACCATTTGCTTCAAACGCCATCACTTATCCACTTAGCTACTGATTCCTGATAGCTATCTGCCTGAGCAATGGGGAGACGTTTAAATTCACTTGATATTGTTCATTCGAATTTTCCCATTGTTTTTTTAGAGCTACGATTGATTAGTCTCTTATTGCCCTATGTGCATACTGTACGTATTACCTCAACATTGCCCTAATTCACAAGCTTTTCATGCAAAGATGGATGGTGGCTAGCAATAAAATCCAGGATGCTAATTTCGTCCTATTTAACACTCGTCAACTGAATGTATCTGCTTGTGACTTAATTCAATATTGAGGTAAGTCAAACCTGGATACATTAATGTCAATCGCAATCCTAAAACATACAATCAAACAATATCATATAAATTTTTATTACAAAAATATACTTGTCATAACTTTTGACCGCCGATTAGAGGGCAGTGAATTATAGATCGGACCAAGGACGCGTAAAACACGTACGAGCAGTTTACAGTCCTGATTGGTCCTGCTTTCCGCTTAGCTCAGCCATTTAAGTCCAGAACACCAATCTCAGTCTCTTCGATATGAATTATTTATTTCAAATATACTGGGTTTATATACCAACCAGACAGACCACACCGTACCAATAAAATATGAAACAACATTTGTACAAGAATTAGTCAAATGTGGCTGTGAATGAGCGAGGTAATAATTAATATACTGTGTACAACTTAATAATGGTAAATCGTATAATAGTAGTTCATAGTCAGAATGGGTTTCGTGGAGAGTTTTAGAAATTTCACAGGTTGAAATCATGAGTCGATCGAAGCTAGACCACCATGGAAAACCTGGGAGCACTGGACGGTCGTTCCGTCCCAGTATGGGACTCCTCAGCAACGCGCATCCACGATCCCGCACCGCGCGGGGATCGAACCCAGGACCTACTGGCTTCACGCGCGAGCACGTAACCGCTAGACCACTGAGCCGGCGTCCAGTGGTGTAAATGTCTAACTTCAAGCAATCCACGAAGTTGCGCCACCTTACACCATTGTCTTCAGTAAAATAAAGCTCATGATAAGAGGAACACGAATATGAATAGTTTAGTTACTTAATAATTATGCAATCAAAATATACGTTTAGTATTGGTCCATCAGCAGATCCCAAAAGTAACCATTCATTATGTTTCTCGGAACCTAACAATACTTTTAAAAAAATAATCACTTTTATGTACTTTTATGTTTACACCAATAATCTATTTTCTTTAATAGATTGAATATCACATGAAATGATCTTCATCATAAATAGTACATTACTTTTTCTTAGTCATTTCTCTTTGAATTATCTACCTAGAAACAATATGAGTAGAATTCATAAAACAACTCAACAACAAAGATTACATCATCATGTTCATCAAATAACCCCAACAATCCATAATCATACCTCATTACAAACTATACTCCATTCGGAATTATTATTACTTGATCAATTATTTGATCATCAACAAATGATTCATTATTTATTGAATAAAAATACATTTTGTTTAAATGATTCTAATCTATGGACAATTGAATGGTTACAACAATATTTAGATATATTAACAGAATTTGGACAATTACTTATAAAATGTAATAAAAATAGTACTACTATTCATATACATATTGATGATATCCTACCTATAACACGTTTATGGCATAGTTACTTAGAAACAAGTTTAATCTCATATCCTATAGAAAGTAGAATGCTTAATCATGATCAGAATATCAATCAAAAAATCAATTTTACATGGGATATGTATATTGTATTACATAAACCTAATCAATGTCAATTAAGATCATATTTATTGAATAATCAATCAATAATCAATCATATACCAAATTATTATTATCTTACTATACCATCACTAATCAATATAGAGAGAATGGAATCATCTATGGAATCATTTAGAAAACAAGAAATCAATGATCCCTATGAATCAATTCGTATTACTGATCATTATTTATTGAATAATCAATTATTCGATCAATGGGATTTGATTTCACCAATGAAAATATGTCAATTATTATTTTCTATAGTATTACCAGAATGTTTAAATACAATAATAATGAATGATTATGGTGAAAATAGTTTAAAAGTAATTCGTTGGAAATGTTTATTTGAGAATGATATTAATAAAGCAATTGAAGAAGGTTATTATCCAATTGAAGTGAGTTATTATATTATATATATAAAGGAGTATTTTTCCCATCACACAAGCTAGTGGTTATTTGAACTTAGTAGCTGAGTGAATGATGTGATGGCGTTTGAAGCGAATGGAACTGGGTTCAAGTCCCGGAGTGAATATGAACTCTGGGATGTAGATATATATGCAACTGACGAATCCTAAATAGGACGAAACTCACTTCATTGATTTCACTGTTAGTCATCATCCATCTCATTTTAAAATATATTGGGTGTCTGAAATATAGATAATAAAAGCTTGCCTACTATCTTCTCTCGTTCAGATTGATAGTAGAAGAAGGCGTCTGTATCGGAGAATCAATAAGGATTAAGAATATGTTGTTCTTAACTGAGAATTAATCTTGACATTCAAAGCGTATTAGTGATCAAAGATTAGGACGCTAGGCTACAAAGGAAACGGTACAGGTAGGATAGAGAAATTCTAGCTGCGATTCTAATTGCTGAAACTTCTTTAGATATCGATTAACCTCCTTGCATAACAGTTGTATTAATTTTTTAAATCGAGATTATGAATCGATTGATGTTAGACCACCGTTGGAAACCTGAAAGCACTGGATGGCCGTTTCGTCCTCAGTGGTGAGCATCCACGATCCCGCTCGCTGGATTCGAACCTAGGGCCTTCAGTATTTATATAATATCAAGAAACTCAATAGAAATCTTCAATGTTAATATTGTTTTACTCAAACAACACTAGTAAGGTTTGATTCTCTTGGTTTTATTTGTTATATATATATATATATATATATATATATATATATATATACTACCTCTAAAGTATTGCTCATGGAATCGTGAATTTATAAAAATTCTAACCTTTCCAAACCTTCAGTTCAAACACCAGTAATACACTATTAACACTAATAGATATGTGATTGAAAATCATTTTTGATTCATAAACTACAGTATACTAATATTATGAACCTGTTCATCAGTTATATTATGAAAATTTCCTAGTTATACATCTTTTGAGATTTGACTAATTGAGCAATGAGTAGTGACCAATATATTTCATTACTATGACTTAACGTTGGTTGAATTCTATAGATCAATGTTTAAATGTAGTCACTATTAGTTTAAATGACTCGATATGGTGTGAACTATATTCTGATCTGTTGGAAAACACGTATTTGAATGCTATGGATGAAAGTTAATGATGTAATTAAAATAAGTTTTTAAATTATACCAAAAATACACAAAGTTATCTATCTGATATACTTAACTGGTCTATAGTCTAATATGAATAGATTGAAATAGGTAGTTCTACACATTAATTAATCAATAATGATTTACAATATCATGAGATTAACTTACTTTAAGTAATCTACTGACGTAAGTGATTTACTCCTTGCGAAAAGCAGACGGTATTTAACATCCATTATTAAGATGTATCCGCGGTTATGAGGGTTCTAGAAGATCTGCCAATCACGTTAGGGGATTATAAGATATTAAAAACATTTTACCACCCCTCAAACTGATTTGTTTCCATTTTTATGATCACCTTGAATATGATTCATTTCAATTTCAACAAATCTATAAATTAAATAATTGATTTAATAACTTGATTAAGGCTAGACCATCATGGAAAATCTGAAGGCATTCAACGGCTATTTCGTTCTAGTATGCACTCAAATTCCATGTGAGTGATCATAAATGTATACTGACACTGAAGTGTCTCATACTAGAACAAAACAATTGTCCAATACTTACAGGTTATTCACAATGATCTAGCTTTAATCAACTCATAAATTCAACTATTAAACTCAAAACCCTCCCCCCTTTTCACATTAAAAATCTATAAATGATCCTTTTTTTCTTTTTTCTTTTTTTTTGATTTAAAGGTTGTATTTGATTTAAATAGTATAGGTCTTAATTCATTTTATTATAATTCTAAATTATGGAAAACTCAACATACTAATCATTTATTACATAAAATACAAATCAATAAAAATAATCATTTATTATCCATATCAAATATTGATTTTAATCATAATATAAATCAATCAGAATCAAGTTATTATTCTTCAGTTACTATGCCAAATATTTTAATTATGTATATTAATTTTCATCCAGTTTTTTCATTTAATGATTTTATCAATACTATTCCTACTCCTACTAATACTACTACTACTACTACTACTAATAATAATAATAATCAATCAAAAACTCAGATAGCAACTATAACCAATAATCGATATTTATCGATTTATTGGAAACATAATTTTTTAAAATTAATCACTCCATTACAATTCAATAATAATTTACCATTATGGTCTATATGTAATTGTCTTAAAGAAGATTTTATTTTACAAAAAATTCATTACATTCATAATAATCATTATTTCTATATGAAATCTATTAGAATTTTATTAAATTTATTTCATTTTAATGATTTATTATATAATACAAATTTATTAAAAATATTTAATATTAAAAATATAATTGAATTATATTTGCAATTAATTGATGAACAATCAAATCAATTAATGATCAAAAATCAATATCCGAATGCAATCAATTCTGAGAAAAAATCAATAATTGATTGGCAACAACAAAAAAGTTTATATGAATTAATGAATGATTTATTAAAAAAAATGATTGATATATTACATAATAAACAATTATTATCTATTACTAGCCCAGAAACTAATTTATTGCAAATCAATAATGATGATGTTATAAATAAATGGATTCATCAATCATGTATGATATTAACTAGATGGTATTCTAATCCATTAGAATTAAAGAAATTAATAATGAAAAAAATTGAAATGTTAACAAAATTGATTCATAAATTTAATGATTTATATCCGGATAAACAAATTTCATGAGTGAATTCGTACATTGAATAGACTTTTACATTTTAGAAGGTATCTCAACTATAGAAGTCGACCAGTTGATCATTTCATGATGGTTTGTAGTCTTACACTTTTTTTAATTCCATATCATCCTTTTATAGACATTGTCTTAGAAACAGAGAGAGAGAGAGAGAGGAGGGGAGAGAGATTAATCAATCGCTATTCTGGATATGCACTTGATGAGAAAGGGGAGTAATGGTTCCTTAAAAAAAGATCCATTTCTTTGTATGTAGTTTGATTACGTAACAGATGAAATAATTCATCAATCACGTATCCTATTAAATTCATGGTATTATAATCCGTTAGAATTAAAAAAAATTGAAATGTTAACAAAATTTATTCATAAATTTAGTGGTTTATATTTGGATAAACAAATTTCATGTTTAGATTGTACATTGAACATATTTTGGTTATTGAACTTTAGTTAACTGATCATCCCATGTTTGTATTCTTACATTCTTTTAATTACATATCATTCTTTTATACACTTTAAGTTAGAAACAAACACACACACAGAGTGTGTGTGAGATTAATCAATCTCTATTATGGATATGCATTTGATGAGAAAGGGGAGTAATGGTTCCTTAAAAAAGATCCTTATTTTTTTGTATTTTATTTCATTATAGTAGAAAATTAGTTGGCGAGTTTATAAATTTAAAATATATGGAAGCGTTTTTAAAGTTTTGACTTCTGTGGATAAAAGTTTTAGATTTGATTCAATTTTTGTTGTTGTGAGATAGTAACTCACTGAAGACAATGGTGGATGTGTTGCTCAATTTTGTGGATTAGTTGAAGTTAGACATTAACACTGTTGGATACCGGCCGGATCAGCGGTTTAGTGGTTAAGCGCTCGTATGTGAGACTGATAGATCCTGGGCTCGAATCTCGCAGGGGGCGTAATCGTGGATGCGCACTGTCACTGAGGAGTCCCACAATAGGATGGAACGGCCATCCAATGCTTCACGGTTTTCCATGGTGGTCTAGTTTCAATCGACTCATGATATCAGCCATTAAAATAATACAGTTAAATATTGAACAACTGTAGACACTACAGAATCATAAATGCTGTTTGATGTATGTTATGAACTAAGAATAAATGTTGCTAAGCTACCTAATCACTGCAAAGGTGTGGTGTGAGCCACTTATATATTGTATGTAACGATAGTCAGGAATAGAATGTATTTCAATAGAAGATTGAAAAGAAAAGAACGAAAGCGGAAAGCAATTAGTATGAGAATGCAAGAACAATGAATTCTGAGACGATCGACTGATATTTGAAAAAAGAAACAGTTAAGTTGGTGACAGTTGATCGATTTTTTGCAAATTAAGTAGTCACTGTTTGGATCTCAGATTTTAGTAATATGTTCTGTAATTATATGTACAATTACAATCTATTGGGTTATTGTTTCTTTTTAAGACTATAGGTAGTGGAGGCAATCGAATACATTTGAATACAAGATTACAGAATATCATAGTAAAATTAGAGAATCATTTTTTGCTTGATCTTAACTTTTTGCCTCCAGGCATTTTACTTTCGATTTATGATACATACTACTTATATCTGTCAACATCAATAGTACACATCACAGTAGCATAATTGTTCAATCTACTCTTTTAATATCTACTGTTATGATTGTATGATATAAAATTTATAGTACGCTATGATGTAGCTAGCGTACTACCTAAATGTTCTGGAGTCTATTTTAGGTGAGGTGGGAGATGCCTACAATAAATGATACCCATATTATGAGGGAATAAATATTATATACAATTTGTTTTACAGTTGTTGTTAAGACGAAATTCAGTCCTTAGTTTAAACTGTCAATCAATTGTACGTTCTCCATACGATTATTAATGTAATGAATTAATATTTAGTTAAAATTTCAAATGAACTAATCATATTTGTCTCCATGTAACTGTGAAGAGATACAAGCTTACTTACTTACTTACGCCTGTTACTCCCAATGGAGCATAGGCCGCTGACAAGCATTCTCCAACCCACTCTGTCCTGGGCCTTCTTTTCTAGTTCCATCAAATTGTTGTTCATTTTTCTCATGTCTATCTCCATTTCTCGGCGTAGTGTGTTTTTTGGTCTTCCACTTTTCCTTTGGCCTTGAGGATTCCATGTGAGGGCTTGTCTTGTGACGCAGTTTGGTGCTTTCCTCAATGTGTGTCCTATCCACTTCCAGCTCTTCTTCCTGATTTCTTCCTCCGCTGGGATCTGGTTTGTTCTCTCCCACAGTACGTTGTTGTTAATAGTGTCCTAAGAGATACAAGCAGAATACAATAAATCATATTATTATTATGTTCCGATGTTCACTTTGTGGTGTGAGAGTTCTGTGGAAATTGTTCAGTTTATAGTTTATTCTAGACAGGTATTGATCAGATAGCCATTGAAAAACCAATAAGTATTGAAGAGCTATTTTGTCCTAATATTGAACACTGAAATGAAACATCGTGGATTGCTTGAAGTTAGAAATTAATACCATTGGATGCCAGCTCAGTGGTCTAGTTTGTTAAGCGCCTGGCGTGAGACTGATAGGTCCTGGGATCGAATCCCGCGGGGAAGGCAGAATCGTGGATGCGCACTGCTGGGGAGTCCCATACTAGGACGAAACGGCCGTCCAGTGCTTCCAGGTTTTCCATGGTGGTCTAGCTTCAATTGACTCATGATTTCAACAAGTGAAACATCAGTCCGTTTAGTATATTTACATTTGAATAATATGCACACACATCCTAAACTAATAATAATAAAAATAATTTTATGCACATTGGTGATTAGTTTCTAGAAGTTAGTTCGAGTACGATAACGTGCTTGATAAGGTTCAATTATTTCGAGGTTTTAAAGACATATCACAAATGGAAATGAATGTTGGTCAGGCAATACTCTGGATGACGTTGTTAGGGGATCTCATATTACTAAGACACGGAATTGTTATTCAATGCCTCCTGGTTTTATAGGCATCTCAATTAAAGTTAATATGTGACAAATATCACCTGTAAGTTAAATGCTAAGTTTTCCAGAAATCATGTGAATCGTTTTGACTCATCAAATAAATACTCTGTTAAGTAAAATGATAATGAATTTATGATCCCAGTAACATAGTGTTATAAAATGACTTCAAAACTCCCGAATGTTCTAGAACAATTATCGGTGAGTGTATAATTTATGCACGACCTTCGAGTGACACTAAAATGACCTTGGGAATATCCACCTACATACTAGGGCTAAATGTTGGTTATAAATCAGTGTGAAGAATAAACATTATGATTTACAGTTGCTGGTTACAGTTAAAAATTAGATTTAAGGTTTTTCACAACGAACTGACATCAGCTATAATGCCAAAACTCTATTTAACCAAATAGATGAATAAATTTCGCGCCAAAATCTCAGACCTGTTATTGTAAATCTGATTGGTTCGTCCATAAATTATAGTCTCACCAAAAACTTCTCACCAGAGCGTTGCTGAACAGGATGGAAGACGCAGTTGACGCTCAACTTTGATATGAACAGGCTGGATTACGTAAGGATCGTTCGTGCACAGACCAAATTGCGGCACTACGGATCATCGTCGAACAATCAATTGAATGGAACTCGTCACTATACATCAACTTCATTGACTATGAGTAGGCGTTTGACAGTGTAGATAGGAGAAAATTATGGAGAATTCTCTGACACTACGGAGTGAGTACCTTGGAAGATTGTCAATATTATCCGGAACTCATATGACGGACTACAGTGCAAAGTCGTGCATAGAGGACAGCTGAAAGATGTATTGTCAGTGGGGGCCAGAGTCAGACAAGGCTGTCTACTCTCCCCCTTCCTCTTTCTTCTGGTGGTTGACTGGATTGTGAAAACCTCGATATCTGATTGGTTCATCCTTAAATTATAGTCTTACCCAATTATCATATATACCAATAACCTAAGTAATCATTTTAATTGCCATTTGTAAATGAACAGAATAGCAATACAATATTTTTAATGGAAATCTATTTCATTATATATATGTATAGTATTAAAGAACCTTTAACCTAATTTTAATGAAGTGATTCTTAACAGAATTACCATAGTGATTACCATCTACATACATATGGGTATATACATACATAGAATGTTAAGTCAACTTTTCACATAATCTTGATGATTTATGCACTGAAACACTTAGAAAAATGTTTTTCTTTACTAATTGAACAAAGTGGTTTTTGGAGGGTCACCGGCTACCATGGGACTGCATCTCTTGACGCCGCTCCACTGTCTTGTGGATTAGAACTTTAAGTCAAAGGCTCCGAGTGTGGCTCATTCGTTTTATCACTATGGGGTTATGAATATTGTTCAATTTTATTTGAGATCCTTGGTTCAAATCCCACAAGTGGGATCATAGATGTGCTCTATTGAGGAGTCCCTTACTATAATGAAATAGTCCTCCAATACTTCCAGGTTTTTAATAGTGGTTTGACATTGATCAATGCATGATCTCATTTATTTTATATTAGTAAATGATATTACCAAGTAGTTAGTTAGTAGTTTATGAGACGGTGACGATAATAATATTTAGTTGTCAGCATTATTTTCTCATGAGAATATAAGAAAACATCATAGTTGTTGTCATTAAAGTAAATTAAACTATCTTACAATTAATTCCACATTTCTATTGTATTTATTATCTCTGACGTATGATTTTATCGTACGGATAACTAGCTTAATAGTCTCGGTACGAATATCGATAGTGATATGAAAGTACAATCAAATAGGATGAAATATTCATTCTGAATTTCACTAGCAACTTGACTATCAATCCTACTGAATATATGAAGATTAATGAGACTTTTCTGATAAATGTCATGTATATATAATCCATAGTGGTATTATTAACTGATGATCGAATTCAGACATTGTGTATTCACTTGTATGAAAGTGATCGTTTCGATTAACCCAGAATGTTTCATTATAGAATACAAGTACTAGTAGTACGTAAGGCATGTGGTTTATGATTTAACTAGCAGATTAGTTAGTGTTTCAACTCCACTATCTAATTATGAGGTGATGGAGAAAATTTTTATAGCTCAAGATAGGAGTATTAGGAACTTTTTGGTGGAGTTTTGTTCTCTGAGCTGGATGGTTTGGTCGTAGAGCTTTCATCGTTTTTTTGAACGACATCATCAGCACAAACTTCCAATAGAAGTTCAAATAGAAGCTCCACGACCAAACCATCCAGCTCAGAGAACAAAACTCCCACAAAATCATCCACCTGAGCTACAAATCTTCTCCAGCATCTCGAGTATTAGGAACGTTGTATTCTCTGAGCTAAAATAGTTTAATTGTCAACTTGTCATTGTACTCCTAGGCAATATCATCAGTAGTTGCTTCAGAAAGAATTGAAGTGTTAGAATTTCTTTAAAATTGACTAATAGATTGATATTATTGATTTTCAGAAAATCTCAATAAAAAAAAGTGGGTTATTAAGGCAATAAACATAGGAATTTCAGTAATTTTAATCATGACCAGTGACTTGTAGCCACATTAGGATGACTTAAATATCACTCATAATATCGGATATCTAAAAAACAATACTGCGAATTGA